ACCTGACCTTGTGTAGGGGAGGACTGTGGAAGAACTTTGGAACTTGGGGCTAGGAGAGCCATTGAGTAGCAAGAGCTCCATTGGGACTTAGGAGCTTGGTAGATAAGAATGTCGAAGGCAGTGCAGAGGATGGAGGCCTGGCTTGTGAAGTTTCAGAGGGAACTTTCAAAACTCTATCAGGGCCATTTGTTATTTTGAATTAAGATCCTGTGGTTCTGGTTAGCTGGGGCTGAAGACTCAGCTATGATTAACAAGACACTGGAACTGCTGAACTGAAACCTTTGCTTTGCTGGGCTACTTGATGTTGGTTGCTGGAGCTAAGAAATTAGTGGTGGTTGAGAGGCCAGCATCGCCAAGGTGAAATCTGGGAAGTGTCTCCTGAGAGCACAGAAAAGCTGTGTTCCAGAGGTGGCCAAGGTTGTGCCTCAAGCTGAAAGCCAAACCTGGTAACGTGTAAGAGTTACCCACGTGGTACTGGTTTTGAAGGCATGACGGGGTCATGGAGAGCAGCTGAGAACTGGTACTTTGAGAGGCCCGGAGAGGTCATTGCTAAAAGTACGGCCTCAGTCACACACAGATGGAAGCCCAGGACTGAGGGGTCAGGCAAAGAAGAAGTGGCTTGGCACCACGAGGAGAGCCTGTGAGAGGCTATTGGTGAAGGTGCAGCCTGGTTGCAACGGAAGACCCCAGGCTTTTGAAGATGCCAGTACCATGGATGACCACCGTGAACAGCAGCTGTGGTGGAGCGGAGCCAGCCGGAGCCTAGAAGACAGCCATGTGTGCTGCAGAGGGCAGAGCCAGAGAAGTGACCCAGACCTTTGGAGGAGCCCAGAAGATGGTGAGTGAATCCCAGCCACTGGATTGTCGAAATTTGGTTTTGCTTTGATTTGATTGTGACCGTGCCCTGATTTTTCCCTTTTGAAGTCAACTATTTTACTGGAGCCCACAGTTGAGAGACTTTGAATTGTAAAAGACGTTGGATTTTTAAAAGAGATTGGCTATTTTACAGGGACCGAAGTTTTAATGTGTTTGAATTTGTAAAGACTCTAAATTTATTTGTGTTTTTAATGCGAGATCTTAGGGTTGCATAAGAAAGGAAGGGTTGTAGCTCAATAGTGATGTGTTTGTGTGTCAAGCTGACAAGGAGTGAGTTGTGCTGGCTGATTCTGTGTGTCAACTTGATATAGAGTCATCAGAGAGGAAGGCGCCTCAGTTGAGGAAAAGCCTTCATGAGATCCAGCTGTAAGGCATTTTCTCAATTATTGATCAATAGGGGAGGGCCCAGACGTTGGTGGGTGGTGGTCCTGGGTTCTAGAAGAAAGACTGAGCAAGACAGTTAACAGCACCCTCTGTGGCTTCTGCATCAGCTTCTGCCTCCAGGATCCTGCCCTGTTTGAGTTCCTGTCCTGACTTCCTTCAGTAATGAACAGCAATGCTGAAGTGTAAGCCAAATAAACCCTTTCCTCCCCAACTTGTTTTTTGGTCCTGGTGTTCTTGTTGCAGCAAAGGAAAACCTAAGTAAGACAGGCCTGTTGGTGTGAGGCTTGCCCGGTGACCCCAGGGAACACACCGGGTGGGAGGGACCAGTGCTCTGCTTGCTTTTTCTCTGTGGCACTCTGTTCTGCCCATGCTCTTGGGGCAACAGAAGGTTGGGAAAGCAGACACATTGTGGAGCGGAGCCTGCTGGAGGGCAGAGAAGGTGACAGAGACGTGTGGCAGGGAGCGAATAGAAGAACAAAACTGGGGCTTGGGGAGGGGAGAAGAAATGTGACCGCTTCATGGGGTTGGGCATGAGCAGAGCAGACCTGAGTGATTCTGACATCGTCTTTGGTGGTCTGATGAACGTCTCTAGGACATGGGGGTCAACACTCAGACTGCGAAAAAAGGGCAGAATCTTTATGCAACGGCAAGCCACCCCATCAGTCATGGGATGTTTATACTCGGAATAGCATGGAAACTTCTGGAACAGTGAATGGCGTGGTAAGCAGCTCAGTGTGGGTGGGCACATTTCAGGGGCATGACCTTACCTTGCCTGGTACCCTGTCTAGTGCTTTATTTTGTTTCCTTCTACATTACTCTTTGGAGACAACCTCATGAACACAAGAAACAAGGGTGCTTCCCATATCACCATTGCAGGCTGGGCCTACTTCGAGGGCGAGGGTAATGGTTGGGACCCTGTAGGTTATACCTAAGGTCTGATGAGGGCAGAAGATTTCGCTCCCACTCAGATTCTGAGCAAGCTGTGCAGGTCTGGTTGGCATGTGTGAAAGTATACTCAGCCCCCACCAAAGGTAACCTTTCCCTGGTTTAGGGCCAGTCTCAGCTTCTCTTGTAAAGAGTCTTCAAACCAGTGGAGATGGCCACATTTCCAGGTTCTCTGAAATCTTACTATGGGCCGAATGTGGTTTTCTTAAATTTGTATGCTTATATGTGGTTGGTATCCGGGTTCATCACGTGGTATGTGTGTGTGTGTGTGTGTGTGTGTGTGTGTTGGGGTGGAGTGTGTCCTACTGTGGAGGCCCGAGACCAGTGTCAAATGTCCTCCTCAATTACTCTCTACCCTTGTTTGTGATGCAGAATTTCTCACCGAAACTGGAGCTCATCCATTTGACCAGACGAGCTGGCAGTGAGTTCCAGGGATCTGGCTACCTCTGACTCCCTAATGCCAAGATTATAGACTCACGCTGCCACGCCTGGCTTTTCACAGTGGTGCTGGGGATACAAACTCGGGTCCTCATGCTCGGGGATCCAGCATTTCACCTGCTGAGCCACTGCTCCGGCGCTTGTGTGCTGTGATCTTAACCCTGGTGGTGAGGAAGCCTTTGAGAGGTCATAAGGTCATACCGGTGGCACCTCATGAATGGGTTTTGTGTTCCTATGAAAGAGACCTTAGGGAGCTGCCCCTTTCCCCACCAGTGGGGACACAGCAACAAGCATCTCCTGGAGTCAGGGAGTGGCTTTTCCTGATGTGAACTCTGCTAGCACCTTGATTTAGGCCATCTCAGCTTCTCAAACTCTGCGCCACACACTGCTGTTGCCCTCAAGTTCCTCCAGCTTACGTCACTCTGGTAGAGAAGGACAAGAAGGCCAAACAGACCAGGCTCCATCCTTTCTTGGGAAGTGTGTGTGTGTGTGAGACCTGCTATGGTAGTCTGACATCAAATCGGACACACTGGCAAGTTCCCTATTATAAAGTTTTCAGTCCTATGACACCAGCAAGGTCCTTTTTGCCATTTAAAATGACACACTTCAGGTTCCAGGCACTAGGGCATGTAGGGCATGGGTTCCTTACTGAGGGGACGGGACCTTGATAGAAGAAGGCTGCACCCCAATAACTGTGGCCTCCACAGGAATGTCTAGAAATGCCCACTGCACAGGCCATGCTACTGTGCCAGAGGGAATGTGAACAGAATTTGTCCAGGTTTTTGCTGTCCCAGAGGAATGACGTAGTAGTGACTTTCCAATGAGAAAACCCACTGAGCAGCTGACCTTGGTTCACAGTGCTCCACCCAACTGGAAGATAGATCTGTTTCCACAATGCCATGTTCCTTTAAAAAGATAGCCTGGGAATCCAGAGCCAGGTGCCTTGGACCTGAAGGAACTCCCAGGTGGCCGGCCAGCTTCCCAAAGGCTAAGAACTTCCCACCCTGGGGGACTGTAGAATCCTCGTACCTTCGTGGTAAGAGTCACTAAAAAGGCCAAACCCACAGAGCACAATGTGGTCACAGTGCTGCGGAGAGAAAGGGGACATCCACGGTGAAGGAAACAGAAGTCTGCGGTTGGCGGCAGTTTCGGGATGACTGGCAGCATTTCTCCAGAAAAACGAGCTGACATGTTGTGCTGTGGTACGCTCTGACTGTGTCAGGGACCAGCGGAGCCGGTTAGAGATCCCACCAACAGGGATGCGCAGAGTATGAGAGAGTGTGTGTGTGTGTGTGTGTGTGTGCGCATATGAGTGTGTATATGAGTGTGTGCATGAGTACGCGCGTGTGCGTGCGTGTGTGTGAGTGTGCGTGAGTTGTGTGTGTGTGTGTGTGTGTGAGTGTGTGTGTGTGTGTGTGTGTGCGCGCACACATGTTGGGAAGTAGGACCCAGTTATCTACTGCTACCCTAATAAGTCACTCTTGAGTACAGAGGTTTAAAGCTGCCATTTCACTGCCCCTGTTCTGTGGGTGTCCTAGCCCAGCTGGCTGCTCTACTGGTCTTCCGGATCCATTAACAGGTAAATGGCAGCAGGCCTCACCGAAGCCCCTGTTTGTGGGAGTTAGGTGTGAACCACAGCAGTGGTCCTTGTAGCTAGCTTCAGGGCCTCTCTAGCAGAGAGAGGGATTTTTAAAATGAGAACTTCTCAAACTTTTCTACAAAGGCCAAAGACTTCAAGCTTTGCAGGCATTCCGTCTCTACCACACATTCCCAGCTCCACCCTTGTCATGCATAGGTAGCCCCAGAACAAAGAGGTGTGGTTATGTTGTAAGGAAACTGTATTTACAGAAACAGGTAGTGGGCTAGAGGCAGCCCAGGGCCATAATTCACCGCCTTTGTCTTCCAGGCTGGCTCAGGTTAAGAACAGTCACTCTCATGCCCACCTGGGCCAGGCCCAGATCATGTGCCACACTCTGTAGGCTCGACTAGGTCCCAGAGGGTTGTGATGTGGCTCAGTTGGCAGAATACTTGCCTAGCATGCATGAAGTCCAGAGTTCATTCCCCTCACTGTATAGGCCGACTATGGTGGTACATGCCTGTCATCCTAGCACTTGGGAGGTGGAGGTAGGTGGATTAGAAGTCCAAGGTTGTCCTTGGCCACATAACACGATCAAGGCCAGCTTGGGCTAAGTAAGACTCTCTCTGTTAATTAAGCAATCAATCAAGCAAGCAAGTAAGTTACAGATTCAGGCCAGACAACAGTGTCTGGGGCACAGAGACAAGAAATTATGTCTTCTCTTCTAGGTTCTGTCTGTGGCCCTCCAAAATAAACTGATGAAAGATAAACCACAGAAAAATGAGTACAAATTTTATGTATTACTATAAAGAGTATATTAATATTTTGATTTGTTGTGAGTTAACACAGAAGAAGTGAAACCGCTAAGAAACAGTGAGGCCCAGGCCTTCTGTGCCATTTTAACGGAGTCAAATGTGCTGGGGCACTGAGCAGGCAAAGGGAGGGGGCTGGGCCATAACGGGAAGTGAACTGTAGCGAGGGTGTAAGGGAAGATGCTGGAAGGTGAGGTTCGTGGAGCAAGGCCTGTTTGTGCAGAACGGAGCCTGTGCCTGCGGTGCCATCCTGCAGATAGTATCACCCCTGTAAAGGGACATTTATGACTTTCTTTTCCACATGTGGGAGGGCAGAGGGCCACTCTGCACTCACCATGCTTCAGTTGGCTTATGCTCAAAACGAGTCTTAGCACAGCTGACATATCTTGTAGTGGCAGAAGGGCTTCTCTGAAGACGAAAGGCTCATGACGACGCTGCGTTTAGAGACCAATGTTTTGCCTGGTGGGCTGATCCAAAGGAAATGCTACTACATTCCATTTTTCTGTCTTAGCTGAAAAACAAAATGTACCTTGGAGGTGTATCTCCATAGGCCTGAGGTGTGTCTCCTGATAAGGAGCTTCTAGAATACCAGCACCTTCTAGAATATCACCAACACAGTTATTTTGTTTTTCCCCTTTGGGTGCTGGGAATGCAACCCAGGGCCCGTGTACACCGTGCAAGTCTCCTTTGCCAAACCTTGCTCTGTTTCTGGGTGCTGCTCCAGGCCAACAAGGTCTGAGTGGGAGCATTTGGAGGTGCTGTTCTCTGCCTGTCCCCTTTCACTTGGTTTGAATTTGCACACAAGAGACAGAGAGCCCTGACAGTTACCATCGGTATATGGCCATTCTGGCTAGACATCTTGGGGTCAGAGGTCCTCTAAGTATGTACATGTTCCATGTATTTGGCAGTGAGAAATTGATATTAAAGGTCTTCATCAGTCACCTACTATCTTGATTTTGGGCACAGGGTCTCTCACTGAAGTAGAACCAGATTAGGCCCGGTTGGCTGGCCAGCAAGAACCAGGTGTCCTGCTGTCTCCACCTACCTGGTGTTGGCATCACAATCTTGTGCCACCTCCCTTGGCTCAGGTCCTCAGGCTCATGGGGCAAGCACTGCACGGCTGAGCCATCTCCCCAGCCCCTGCCCCCCAGAGGTATTCTACTATAGTATGTTTCTGTTTGGTGTCCAGAACTACCATTCTGATTAAATGGTGTCTCCAGGGGCCAGCTTTGGGGCCGAGGGTCTTTATACAAGTCTAGACCCTTCCTTCGGGAATGAGATCTCAGTTGCCCCATCCCGTGTCCCTATATTTTCATGTCGGCTATCTCTGGGGAGCCTTAGCCCATCTCTGAGCTCAGTGGACTCAGCCCAACTGCTCCTTGCTGGTCCAACCTCATGCAAGGCTCCTCTGTCCCCAGACGGTCTAGAATCTTCCATCAGTAAACATCATGTCCCATGGTTATGCACTAAAGATTCTGACTTCTGATAGGCTGGATCCAGAATCTGATGTCACAGACAGTAACCAATCAGGATCTTCCTTTAAAGGAAACTAACTGAAATAAGAATCTCACTGCTTTAAATTTTCACTTTTTGTCAGTCTGTTCAGACTGCTCTCAGACATCCAGGGCTGCTCTATCTAGAATTTAGAACCAGAGTGAAGCCAGGAAACCACCTCAGGTGAACAGCATCCATTAGCTGCAGCCACTTCTGGTTTAGGAGTCTCTGCCTCCCTCTGTGGCTCTGGCTCTCCTTTTGTCTCCCCCCTCTTTCTTCTCTCTCTCTCTCTCTCTCTCTCTCTCTCTCTCTCTCTCTCTCTCTTTCTTCCCTCCCTCCCTCTCTTCTTCTCCCTCCCTCTCTCCTCTTTCCTCCAGGCCGGAAGTGAGCTCACCACCAGAGGCCTGTTCTTGGGGAGGTCAGTTGTTACCTGAAAGCCGGTTCCAGGCTGTCCTGTGTTCTTCCATACAGAAGGTTCAGTTGCTTCTTCTGGATGAACCAGGAAGAACTTAAAAATGATTGGGGGGGTGATTAAGTAAAAAAGGGAGATGAAAGAAAAGGGAGGGAGGAAGGAAAGAAGGGGAAAGAAGAAGGTAGGAGAGAAGAAAGGAAAAGGAAGAAGAAGGAGAAAGGAGATGGAGAGAGGAATGAAGGGAAGGGGAGAAGGAAGGCAGGAGAATCAGATAAGCATATTCTAATGTGTATTGAGACACCACATGGATGTCAGGAATATGTTAGAGGTCCCCACCTGTCTGAGCTGGCCCAGGACCTTCACCTTGGCAGAATAAGTGTAATGAGACAGGATTCATGTTGGTCTTAAGCTGAACAATTCATCTCTCGCCTGGTGAGAGATTCTGTACCTGGTCAAAAGGTTTCTGAGATGTTCCCAGTTTGTTTGTTTCATCCCTACATAGAGGGTGTGTGTGTGTCTGTGTGCATCCTCTCTCAGAAAGTGCAGTGCTCTCAGGCTCCCCTGTGTGCGGTGCGCATCAGCATTTCTGTTCATTTCTAAGTAGTGTCCTGTGGGATGTCACATGTGAATGAACCACTGCCAGTTGGCGTAAACTTTGATTGTGTTTACTTTTGAGCCATTGTAAGTAACTAAATAACTATGACAATTACCAATAATTCTGCTGGGGACGTTTGCTAACAGGGATCACTGTGGGTGCATGTTTTTCTTTTCCCTGAACATGTCAACTAAGGGAATTCTTGGCTGGAAAGGAACTTTAACATATCAGGGAACTGCCATGTCATTTCCCAAGTTGGCCACACTTTTTTGTTGTTGTTTTAATGTTCGTGGAAGGTCCCAGTGGCTCTGCATCCCTGTTACTGCCTTTCTGTTCAGCATATAGGGATCCTAGTGGGTGGGCGAGGAGGGCCTTCGCTATGGTTCTCATTTGCATTGTCCTGATGAGTGAGGTTGAGCTACTGTCCATTTGCTTATTGTTTTTTAGAACACCTTATTTTGGTGCCGGCCTGGTGGTGCACACCATTAATCGCAACACTGGGGAGGCAGAGATAGATGGATCTCTGTGAGTTCAAGACCAGCATGGTCTACATAGCAAGTTCCAGGCCAGCCAGGCCAGTCTTATTATTTCTAAGTACCATATTTGGGGAAATGTACACAGAAAGGAATGATGCTTTCACCTTTTAATCAGTGTCTAGATTTTTCATGGAGAGGAGGAAAAATATCTGTCAAGTCAAAATCCCTAAACAAAATTAGTTTTACAAAAATTTTAAAATATACCTAAAGAAAACTTTTATGTAGGATGTAAATTGATTTCTGAATAAAGAGAAAGATACTCCATGTGTGGAGAAGCATATTAAATATTAGATACATAGATGCAATATTAAATATTAAATATAACTTTTAGAGAAACATACACGCAAATACCTTATAACTAAATTTTACTTTATATATCAATTGTATGTTTAGCATATTGACTTTTTAAAATACATCTTTTTATTTTTTAAATATTTATTTATTATGTATATAATGTTCTGTCTGCATATATCCCTGAAGACTAGAAGAGGGCATCAGATCTTATTACAGATGGTTGTGAGCCATCATGTGGGTGCTGGGAATTGAACTCAGAACTTCTAGAAGAACAGCCAGTACTCTTAATCTCTGAACCATCTCTCCAGTGCTAGCATATTGACTATTAACCAATCTTACATTATTAGTATAGTTCTAATAAATTTTATTTGAATTGGGATGTTATCTTAAATTTTGTGAAGAAAACGGAATATATAATAATTGACAAGAAAATTTTAATCTTACTTTATGACTAGGTTGTCTGCGCTATCTAATATAAAGCCACTGTAACTAGAGTGAATAGACCAGGAAGTCACAAAGCAGATCGGGCAGCTAGGGACCAGTCCCAGGCCATAGAAAATGTTAATAGATGTTAAAAGTAGCAGCTATAGATGTTTTACTGGCATAGCAAATCCATTATTTTGCACAATTTATGTATACTAGCTGTCCTTGTTAGGGTTGCTGTTGCTATGATGAACACCATGGCCAAAAGCAAGTTGTGGAGGAAAGGGTTAACTTGACTTATCTTCCACATCACTGTTCATCATCAAAGGAAGTCAGAGCAGGAAACAAGCAGGGCAGGAACCTGGAGGCAGGAGCTGATGCAGAGACTATCGAGGGATGTTGCTTACTGGCTTTCTCCCTATGGTTTGCTTGGTCTGCTTTGTTATAGAACCAAGGCCACCAGCCCAGGGATGGAACCACCTATGCCATCCCACATGTCTTAAGGAAATGCCCTACAGGCTCGTCTAAAGCTGGGTCTCATGTAGGCACCGCTGTAATGGAGGCTTCCTCCTCTCTAATGACCCTAACCTGTGTCAAATTGACCTAAAGCTAGCCAGCACACTAATAGAAAAGTTGACCAATAAAATTTTCATCTGGACAGTTTTACTGTGTGCTTTTGAGATTACAGAATGGTGTTGTGGGTTACTGATAAACAGTAAGATAGTTGCTATAGCGACACTGGGGATCCCACACCCCGTGTGTTGCTTAGTCTGGTGACGAACAGTTAGTGTCTACTTATATACTGAAGCTCCATTACAACTTGATTGTATTTTCAAATGATTATACATCCAAAGAAACATTTTAATTGGGCAAAACTGTCCACTGAAGGAGGGAAGGCTGATGAGGGTTTGAGCAAAAGGTTCTGATTTTTTTGTCTACTGTGGCAACATGATTGCTCAAGTAGTCACAGATGAGGGAGTTTATTAAGGTGAGCATGCGCACAGACTTACTTGGCTACCCGTCCTTTCAGGAACTCCTCTTCAGCAATCGATAAGGATATTGCTAGTGTCGTTGGTGACTGTCACAGTGAGAGTGTGTCATACAACAGGTAGAATCGCATGTCTACACCCAAAAATGCCCAGGTGAAAGAGCCAGTCTCAGAACAGAACTTTGGGAGGCCAGCACTTCCTGGAGCAGGAGGGAAACCTCAGTAGTGCGCTCCATGTGTGACTTATGCAGAGCACAGGGAAGCCGCCTGGCAGGAGCCAGTGTGACTACCTCTTGTTGGGCATGAACTGTGGGAGGGTGAATCAGGTACTGTGCGTTTCGTTGTGTGTGTTTGCTCCTTGACCTGCCAGTGTGAGCACACACTACCCTCAGCGTTGAATAAGACCCAGTAACCATGTGTCCAAGGCCCCAGAGCAAACACTAGCCCGGATCTGTCCAGAAGCAGCAGGGCAAGTGGTTCTGTGCTTCTCAGCTCTGGCTGGCACTGGGGGAGATCTTGAGTGATGGAGCAGGGGGGTGGAGGACGTTAAAATTCAGGCTCTTAGTATGAGCTCGCCTGAACATGTCTGGCCCAGATGTCTTAATTTGTGTTAAATTTTCACTTTGATAAAATTGGGGTCTTGTACAAAAGTTGGAAGCAAAAAGAATTGAAATGACTGTTTCACTTTTATTTGGTGAAATTGAGAGAGAACACAATGTTGATAGCTAAAGCACAGACTCTCCCAGCTCCTCACCTCTGTGATTTGGACATGACTGAGGGTCACAAGGGTTCAGTGTCTGAAGCTGAGCCCCAGGGTGGTGTAGAGATGCTGGAGTCTTTAAGAGATGGGGCCTAGCAGGAAGTTGTTGGGTCTCTGTAGGCTCTACCCTTGGAGGGACTGAAGTAAACTTCCAGACTTCACTAATTCTGTTTATCCGTGGTTGTGAAAGAACGTGACTGAGCCGGGCAGGGCAGCGCATGCCTGCGATGCTAACAATCAGGAAGATAAGGCAAAAGCATGCATTTGAGGCTAGCCTGGGTTACAAAGAAAGACAAAACTGAAACCAAGCAGCATGCGCATGTGTGTTTCAGGGTGCGTGTGTCTGGCTCAGTCTCTCTCTCCTGAATGCATACCCTCCAAGAAGCTACCGCCACCTATCACCATGCAGTGTGGACAGAAAGATCGTTGTCCCCGGTTGTACAATGCAGTTTGACCTTTCAGTCTCCCAAGCTATAAACTGAACAACCTTCGCTTTACAAAGCTCCCAGCACCTGTTATTTTGTTATTGCCCGAGAAGCACTAACACACCCAGCATGCTCTTGATCTGCCTTGGGATCCAACCCAGGATGGCACTGCACGGAACTCTTTAACCTCAACCATAGCGTCCCATCTCCCCTTGTCTTCCATGACCCTGGAGCTCCAGAAAAGCACAGGTGAACTATTCTGTAGACTGTCTCTTGATGTGACGCTATGAGATGATTTCTATGTGATCCAGAGTCCTTGCCAGGGGTCCCTGTCGGGCACAGGCTGGCACATGTGTTGTTGTGTAGCCGCCATCATGGTAACTAATTCAGAGACAGTATTGATACATAAGAAATATTAAAGTAAGCATGAGAACTGGTAAAATTGCTTTCCCCTTTGTAATTAATGAATACCTCAGGGGAGTTGCTCTGAGACTAGGCATGTGTGCTCTTCTTCTCTGAGC